AGAAAACCAGCCCAAGTTCGAATCCTAGTAAGGGTATGACTAGCTGATGAGAGCTAAATAGCCTTGAAATAGATCTACCGGTATACTAGTCTCCCTTCATTTATTTATCAGCAAAAATGCAACACACACACACACACACACACACAGACATGTAATTTTCAGTTTCAGGAAAATTCAGAGCAAATAAGTCATCCTCGTGAAAACCAAAAGTGGGTAAGGTGAAGTCAAACACATAACTCTACAGAAGGCTGAAAATATAGTATCTTTTATGTCTTCATCAGAATGTAGGACTTATTGGTTCAATGTGGGCCCTCCTTGTTTTGAAGTTGGCTATTGACATGGTTCTGCAAGCAAGGATGGTGTGTTGCAGTAGTAACTTGATTAAACGTCTCCTAAGAAGAGCTTTCCATGGTAGGTCAGTGAAGAAGCTCATGTACTGTAGGCAAATGAGCCATATTTTAATCCAAGGGAAGGATGAAATCTTCTCATCACAAGAATGGTGTGCACTGAAGTTCCAGGCTGGTGAAGGCCAGTGAGCCAAATTGAACTCAACTTTATCCCCATTGGCTACTCTGCTGCAGTATTAATCCTGGCCATTTTAAGATGCCTGAACTTCAGAATTCCTCAGCCTGCTGTGTTTGAGAAACGCCTTCTTATTGGTATGATACTCTAAGAATGCATCTGAGAATTTTGAAACATTCTGAGAATTATAGTCCCCATAAATTTGCAGAATACATTGAGAAAGGCAAAGCTAGATACTCCATTGTTCTGATTTATCAAACACAAATTTCTTCTGTTGTAAGGATTTCCAGGGATATAACTTGACTGAACTGCCTTGACATAGGAGAATTAAAACATTTTGATCTTTAAGAATAGCACAGACGGAGACATTTCATCAAGAACACCTATTCCAACCTATTAGAGTCACCTTACAGGAGGGATGGGCAGCATAAAAATTTAACAAATAAATAGAAGAAATAAAATTATATCCTCTGAAATGTAACAACTTCTATTCATGCTGGACCGTTTTGTCCTTCGCATTAGAATCACAATTTAAGCATGTTGTCTAAAAGGTCTGGAATTAGACATATTACCCAAAGAAAGGAACAGCATGATACAATATTCATAATTCAAGCAAAGAGGGTTTTACGTCATGTGCCATCAGAGTGTTAACATTGGTAGCTGCTAATAATGAGAAGTTCTTGGACCTCTCTGAACTTGGTTGTTTTCTTGCAGACATTTCATTACCCACACTAGGTAACATCATCAGTGCCAGCACTGGGTAATGAAATGTCTGCAAGAAAACAACGGAGCTCAGAGAGCACCAAGAACCCCTCATTTCAATCCTGAGCCACAAATATTCTCCTTTGTCAGTAGCTGATACGGATATTTAACCACAGTTACCTGGATCTAAGCAAGCCCTCATTTATTCATCCGGTAATAGCTTTAATTACATAGTGGGAGTTTATTGCAACCCTTCCCAACCTTGCATTTTGCTGCTGTTGCTGCTGTTTTGTTCTCCCCACCACTTAAGCAATTCATTAAGACATTTGATGGATGGCTCAAGTGAAATGCTAGATGCTCGGCAAGAATACTGCCCCAACTTGTAAATGCTGAGACGTGGGAGATATTTCTACTGCTGGAGGGTTGATTCATACCATACAGCTTGCAAAGGATGCTCTGGGATCTGGTGTTCTTTTTTTTTTTTTTGTCAGCAAAACAAGATGATATTTGGCTAGTGAGTCAGTAACTGCCAAGCAGACAGACTAATAATGGCACAGAAGCTTCTTAAAATGCCCTCAAGAATTGGCTTTTTCAGCCTGCTGTTTGCAGAATAAAAACACAAATAAAACAGATTTGATCAGGACTCTTGATGCATCAAACCAAGCGTGATCTACCTTTAGACCTGCCAGATGCATCACAAGCAGAAAAAATGGGAATTTAAGAGAGCTCCGAATGACGGGCTAATATAACACAAGCAGCTATGAGGGAAACAGATGTGAGAGTTATCAAGAATTTGATAGATCGATACATCGATACATCCATACATAACTACATACATACATACATATATATATACATATCTAACTTCACTTTCCCGGCCTTTTGGAAATGTCTAAACACCTGGTTTTGTCATCTTGCTTGGGCTTCACAGAGGAATGGGGCTGATCAGCACCCTGAAAACCTTGCCCTCCCCGCTTTTAATTCTGAATTTTAACTTTCTTTTTCCTTTATTTTATATACAGTTTTTATATTTTTATCTTTACTTGTATACTCCCCAGAGTCTCTCTGTGAAGGATATGGGCAGTTTCTAAATGAGAAAGATAGATGAAAGATACATAGATAGATGATAGATAGATAGATAGATAGATAGATAGATAGATAGATAGATAGATAGATAGATAGATAGATAGGAGAGAGAGGGAGGGAGGGAGGGAGGGAGAGAGAAAAACAGATTTCTAAATTTGATAAACAAGCAAACAAATAAGACTTAGGCTGCTTGAGACAGTATCAAATTTCTTTCCCCCCTTCTTTGTTAAATTTTATTTGTGAACTATGAAGATGCAGTGGGTTGTATCTAGTGGCTGTTCATCCACTTGTGGAGGGGGGAGGAGCTAATGGAGCAGGTTCCTTCTAAACTAGGGGAGATATGGAGGACAATAGCCAGAAAGCAAGAAATGACCTTTCAAATAACTAATAGTAATTTATTAAATAATTATCTATTAAACTTGCTTGTTGAATGACTATGGGCAGTTTACAACAACGGAAGAAATTAGAATATAATCAATATAAATAAAGGTAAAATGAATGCCTATGGAAACTGTCTGGAAAGTTTGCACAATGCTTTAGAACAGGGGTGTCCAAACTGAATTTCTTTGAGGGCTGCATCGGGGTTGTGTTTGACCTCGGGGAACCAGGATGGGCGTGGCCAGCTTCACATCATTCATGTTGGGGGTGCTTGTGGTGGCCTGAGCACTTCTGCCAGCGGAAATGGGCTCCCGAGCTCCGTTTTTGGCTGGTACAGCCTCCTGCAACCCTCTGCCAGCGAAAATGGAGCTTGGGGGAGTTCCGTTTTTGCTTGCATAGGCATTACGGGCTGCTCCTTCATTGTTTCAAGGGCAGGCCCACAGGCCAGATCTAAGCACACCATGGGCCGGATCCAGGCTGCGGGCCTTGAGTTTGTTATCCCTGCTTTAGAAGAAAGAGCTGAAATATAAAACTATTAGGAAATTGTATTTCCCTATCTATTACAGCCCCATGCTTAGATCATAGGCTACCACATTTTTTCTCATTTCACATACTCTTTTCTGCACTGCACCTAAAGATGGGCAGAGAACACTCAATCAATCATCAAAAATCATGCTCAGCACGAAATGATGAAGAAACTACTATAGTCTTTGCTTATTTTTCCCCTCAGCTCTTCAGGGAAGACATCATAATTCACTAGGAGAATATAACAGCAGTAGGAGTCAGCAAACTCCCAATGTGGATGAACTATGACTTCCAGCAGTCCCCTCAGCTGGGTTAAAGACGAGGGATGCTCGGAAGTATAACAACTTGGAAGGCCACAGATTTGTCACCCTGGATCTAGACTAATCACCATTGGTCCTTGAAGGTTTTAGACAAACCCTATCTGGAAAAAGAGGAAATTAACCCTGGAAATCCTTTTCACGTAGCTTTTTACTTAGGCCCCGTCACTTATCAACTGTTTGAAGTTACAACAGATTTCCCCAAAGCTACTTATGACTCATATTCAAAGTTTCAATGGCCCAGGCTGTTCCCCTCCTGGGGTCACATAGTCATGTTTTCAGCACTCAATACCCACCCTGCATTTATGGCTGTTTACAGCATCCTGCAGTCACATGACTATAATTTACAACATTTGTTTTGTTGGCAACTGGTGTCTGCTTCCAATTTCTGGCAAAATACTCCCCTTGAGGACAATGGATTCATTTAACAAACGTAGCGTTCCCTTTACGAATGCTGTGTTCATTTAATGGGTAGCAGCAAAAAGGTTGTAAAATCAGGCAGAGTCACATGGCGACCAAGAGTGGTATTCATTTACCTTCCCTACTGGTTCGCATATGTGAGCGAGCATGTGCTCACTTCGCTCGCATACACCACCTCCACGCATGCGCTCAGCCTTCTAGGCATGCGCTTTTGGCTGAAAAAAGGCCTAAATGGGAAGCCATAGAGTTGGGGCGGGTGGGCGGGGACACCCGCAATTTCTGCTACCAATTCAGGTGAACCGGTCCGAACTGGTAGAATACCACCACTGATGGCAACCCCCATAATAACCAGCATGCCTTATGACCATAATTCCAAGCTCAATTATGGTTGTGAATTAAGGGCTATATACAGATTATAATTTCTGTCTTGAAAGATAGTTCTCTCCAGTGATGTGATTTCCCACCCCCCCACCCCCCCATCAGTATTAATTCTGGTGACCCTTAAAGTTTTTAATGCCTGAAAGGGAAGAGCAGAACATTCATTCCGTAATGATGCGAACGGCTTTAAAATTTGTGGCCTATGAGTAAAGGCTGACACCTATGTTCATTGCTCATATGGTTTTGTCAACTGCGCCTTTTGCCTTGCCCTCCCCTGAAGCTGCAGTCAAGCTCCTTTCTAGACAAATAACTCGGGAGGTAATTAACACTTGGGAATTACCTGTCTAGGTGGAAGGCGGCAATCTCCGCATTGTGTCTCTGAAAGTCAACAAAGTAAAAAAAATCTTCCGGAGTCTCCTCATCTCGTTTCTGTCTGAAAGAAAGATCCAGGTAATTAACAGGAAGGAGATTGTGCGTAAAACAAAATATCTTTCAGAGATGAAATATTTGACAGTAGCTAGAAAGAAATAAAGGTTCCCTTTCTTCTCTTTCCGATTTTCAGTGGTTGAGATCTTTTGGGTTCCTTTCTATCCCTCTAGACTTGGAGTCTCATGCTCAAACTAACCAACACCACCAATATGTTTAATAATCATTGAGAAGACTAAATGAGCATGCTATGGAATTGGGGTCCAATTATGGCAGGAGTGCACAACTCTTATAGCAACTTTTATGCCCTATGGACTTCAACTCCCCGAATTCCTGAGCCAGCATGGGGCTTGAGCATGGCTGGTTGAAAGAATTCTGGGAGTTGAAGTCCACAGGTTGTAAAGTTGCCATTGTTGCCCACCCTTACATTGTGGGAGCTTTCCTCTGTTGCCCTCCTAATGTGATTTTGACCCAAGTCAGCCTGTTTGCCTAGTTGAGGAGGAAAGTTGCTATTCAGATCAAAAGGGATCCGTTGGGAGATCTAGACCCCAGCTGGGATCAGGACAACAGAGAAAACAATCAGAATAAGTCCCTCCTTTGCTACACTACACTGCCCTGGTCTGCACTGCCTCATCTCACATCTGCTCTTCATTCTTTCCATAATTTTTAAAGAATGTATGTGGTCACACCAGTGGTGGGCTGCAGGAGGTACGTCCTGGTATGGGCATACTGGTGGCTGCCAGGAGCAACGGGTACCATTCCAGTAAGATGCTCCGGAGGCCCACCCACCTGCCCGCTCTCCTTACCTGTATTTGAGCTCTTTGGCGCTTCTGCGCACGCATCATACGGCACCTGAACAATGCTCTGTTGAGCAGCTGGAGCTTCGCGGAGGTGTCACGGAGCATTGAAGGAGGTAAGGATGCATACGTGCGCTGTGTGCATGTGTGCACATGCTACACACGTTCATGTGGTGGACACCGGGCCCTGTTGCACTGTACCAGTTGCAACAGGATCCGGAACTCACCACTGGGTCACACCCAATTGGCAGCTAGTCAATTAGCAACTTCTAAATGTTTTCCTGTATACTTATTCTGAATTCCCTTTAAAATCTTTGTACATTAGCTAAATGTCTAAAGAGATTCTTGGCTGAAAAGCAAAATGTCTCTTCAAGCAAAACAAGAAAGTCCAGTGGTCTTTTGAAAGAAAGCACCTTTGGGGCACAACATCAGCCTTTCACTGGGGTTGGGAGGAACCAAGTTTGGTTGTACAGGATGCAGCTTCCAATCCCTCTTGTGGGCTTTGTTCTTTCCACAGAACAATGTATGGACATGCGAAGGTGGGAAAACATGAGAAGAACAGTATAGTGTAAGTCAGGGGTGGGATTGAAAAAGTTTAGCAACCGGTTCTCTGCCCGGTTGCTGGGTGGGGGTGGCCTACTCAGCCTCTGCATCAGGCTCCAGAGGCTTTCCTTGAGCCTCCAGGAGGGTGAAAATGGCCTCCTCCAGGCTCCGGAGCCCTTCAAGAGGCTGGAAACAGGCCTGTTTCCATACTTGCAGAATTTCCAGGAGGCCTGTTTTTCGCTCTCCAGAGCCTCCGTGCGGGCCCTGCACTTACCTGGCATCCAAAATGGGCCCCATGGAGATTCCTGGGAGTGGTGGGGTGGGGTGGGCAGGACCAGCCAAGTCCTTGCAACTACCAGTTCAGCAAACCAGATGTGAAATTACAATCTGGTTTGCCCGAACCTCCTGAACCGTCTGAATCCCACCCCTGGTGTAACTCCTAAAGTAGACATTGTGTATTTTAAGCAAAATCATAACACTACCTATCAATACAAAAAAGCCCACAGAATTCGAATCCCTGCTCTTTCTCCTCCTTCTCTGTACAACATCTATAGCTTTGCTAAAAAATGCTTTAGTGAAAAGGATTCTTGCCATTTTCAAGTGAAGCAAGCTTACCTCATTGGTTTGAACATGGCTTTCCCGAAGTCTTGGAACCGCAAAACAAGTTTCAGGTGCACCCCGCTGGGCTTTACAACTAAGAAATGAAGAGAGATTCAGCTCCTTGTTCAAATGCCAAAACACACAGGAAACATAATATCTGTCTTAAGAAAGAATTGGAATGAGCTTCTAACACCTTCAGGGGTGTGTTATACGAAGATCGATATCTAGTTCCCCTTTATATGTTGGAAGTCATTTACTATGTTGAGTAATATGCTACACTAAACTTAAAATAGTGAAGGTCTAACATATTACGGAGCACATGTCACTGCAACGGCCCTAAAGATGAGCCAGTTGCCAGGCGCCCTAATTGGGATCATATGACCACAGAGATGTGGCAAGGGTCGTAAGTGTGGCAAATGGTCACAAGTCACTTTTATTTCCAGTGCTGGTGCAACTTTGAGCGGTCACTGAACGAATTGTTTTAAGACGAGGGCTGCCTGACCAAGGTATTTAAAGGGATCTAGGATTCACCATCATCGATCCAGCTGGAAAATGCAGGGTTCAAAGTGAGCTGGATCAATTTAGCAAGAGCAGCATTTCTGCCGGGACACGGAAGAGACAAAGCAGTTTTCTTAATTTCTCTCTTCCTGCCTGTCATCTTTGTACACCTTGACAAGACTGCTACGGGGGTGAGGGGAGTGTGAGAGCAGGATGAGGAGGCTTGTATCTCTTTGAGGAGGAGGCTCAAGGGTGAAAGAATGTCCTTCCTTCCTCCCTCCCTCCCTCCCTTCCACCCAGCAGATTTCTCTCAAATCCCCTTTGTGCCCCTTTGGATCCAGTTCAAGGTCAGGAAGAGATACTGATACCGGTTGAACAAATGCACAGCCAGCCTTTTAATAGCCGTGCAACTCCAAAGGGAAATCACACCACAGCGCTGGAGTTGCCGTTAAGCATTTAGGGCTGGGTGAGACAGAGCCCTAAATAAAGCCCAAGGGTAGCACTAAGGACTTGGCTCATCCATCTCGTTAATAGAACTCCATCAGCCCCACCGCCAAGAGGACTCCTGTGATACATTGGTCAAAAAGCCATTGCAGATAGAATAGCACTTCACCTACTTTGGGAGCAGTCGCAGGCCCCGAGCAAGGCTTTCTCGTCCTGGCTGTAATCTGGAATGAAAGAGAAAACCTTTCTTACAAGGAAGGGAGGTAGAAGGCAGAAGGCAGGGGAATGCCCTGCTGAACGGCAGGATTGTGAGCTACCGTGCATGCGGGAAGGGGGACCAGCGAAGGGGACCAAAGGAGAACAACAGGACTATCCGGCAAAATGAAATCATGGTGTCACTAATATGAGTTTATGAGAACTAGTTTGGTCTAGTCCAATGGTGGCGAACCTATGGCACATGTGCCAGAGGTGGCACACAGAGCCCTCTCTGTGAGCCCACATGCTGGCCACCTGGTTTTCTGGTTTTCACATGCGCCAGAGTGCTGGAAACCTGAAGACCAGCTGGCCGGCACTCATACGTGTGCTGGAAATCTGAAGAGCAGGTTGCCAGCGCATGCATGCATAATGACCAGCTGGTCTTCGGGTTTCTGGCCCTCCGGCAAACGCGGCACGTTCCAGTTTGGGCACTCGGTGCTAAAAAGGTTCACCATCACTGGTCTAGAGGTTAAGGCACCAGGCTAGAAAGCGAGAAACGGGGAGTTGTAGTCCCGCTTTTGGCCTGAAAGCTGGTTGGGTAACTTTGGGCCAGTCCTGCTCTTTCAGCCCAATTCACTTCACAGGGTTGTTGCTGTGAGGAAAATAGGAGGAAGGTGTGTTGGATGTATTTTCTGCCTTAAGTTATTTGTGAAAATCGTGGCACGACAAAACCGCGGTCCACTAAAGCGCGCCCGATTAAAG